CGCCGCCGCCCCGCCAGAGCAGCGGCGAGATGGGAGGCGGTCGGCGGGTGACATCGGCTCTTCAGCGAGCTTTCAGCTCACTTGGACGACGCTAGGAAAATCAATTCGTGGAATCCAGTCCGAGATGCAGTGAGGCGGAGCCTACCCTGCCCCCCCCCTCGCTTTTGCAAAATCCTGCAAAGGTGGCGTCTGTCCTCGATCGACCCCGCCCTAGCTTGGGATGTCCGTTTATTTAATTTTAATTCGTGTCCTCCTCCCATCCCTCATTTGGGTTTCTGTTTTCTTTCTTTCTGTAAAATTCTTTCTTTCTTTCAGTGAGAAGCTGGAGGCAGGTTGTCGCTAGACCGATGGCTTCTGAGGAAGTCGTCGCCCGCGCCTTGCCTGTCGCGTGAATCGTGCTGTGCGACCGCCTTGTGTTGTAAAATTCGTTGCCCGCAACAGACTGTACGCGTGGGTGCCCGAGGCTCTGCCCATTCTCACCCCCCCGACCGCGTCGAACTCATCGCTCATCGGCGCGGGCTCTCTCGGCTACGGGACCGGCCCCAGCTTCGGCTGAGGGCTAAGCTGCCCAAATCACTGTGCACTGTGAGAGTCGTGAGTTCTTGTTGGTTTCCTAAAATCTCTCTCATGTGCACGGCTCAGGAAGTCTCGATCCTTCCTCGTATCCAAGTATCATTCTTCGCATGGCGGACTACTTTTCTCTTTTGTTCACGACCAAGGCGAGGAGGAGGAGGACGAATACCCAGAGCCACTCGTCGTCTGTCTGGCAGCGAAAACGGAGAAGGGGGGAAGGTCCTCACACACTCTCCACACACACACGAACGACACGCGCACACATATAAGAGGCCGCGGGCGGATCCCTCGTCGGGGTTCCCGGGAAACGGGAGTGCAGAGATTTGTTTTGTTTGTAAATTTGCCGACAAGACGTGATGAATCGGATTCTGGTCGTTTCATGCATCGCGAAGTCGCATACCTTCGCCGTACTTCCCTGCGCCATTAGCGCCCCTGCCTCAGGCTGTCGGCGTCGGCTGGCCCTACGTGCTCGGACACACATGCCCGATCTTCCTCAAACCGCGCGCGAGGGCGCCCTTGCGCGGGCGCGCTCATCAAACCGCCTTTCGTTCTCGCCGGACCCAAAAATTGAGATTGAGCATAATAATGCGGAATCTGAGTTCGAGGCGGCACTCTCACGCCTCGAGGCAACGTCAGCTCAGCAGGTGGCAGCGAGGACGCACTGGTCTCGGATGCCATCTGCAGACGAGATGCTGGTGATGCAGTTCTTTGAGAAGGGCGGCCGCCAGCCTATCGTGAAGAGTGCTGTCAATGCCAACCCTACGCCGCCGCTGTCTCTCTGATGACATATACTGCTGTTAAGCTGCAGACAACGCAGAGTCACAATGGAGGGAGAGGAGGACGCGCAATGCTAGTTCGCCCTGCCATCGGAGGAACGAGGGCAGTCACCGGTCCGGTGCCGGTGGCACAGTCACGCAGCGGACTCGAGGAGGCCAAGGCTGCGGTTGCAAAAGGGGTTGCTGCTGGAGCCACCAGCGGGCTAGAGCACGATGCATTCCACAGGCTGACGCAGTGCTTCATCTCCGCGCTCTGCCCCGCCCCGGACAGCGACACTCTCCCGACTTCTCGCTGCTCTGGAGAGTCTGGAGTGAAGGCTTCCGGCGATTGGCGCCCAAGCTAAGCTTGGGGGCTGGTGAGGTGCATAGGGCGAGTGTGCGGGCGGAGAGTGGCAAGATCGACTAGTGGAGACGCCACGTGCGGGACGTTTCTGCGTTTGGGTCTGTGTCGAGCTCGACTCTGATACCTGTATCTCCCCTGGGCACCTGCGGCTGCGCGTGCTGCGACCTGCGACCTCTCCTGCTTGGGTATGTCAGTGTAATTTGCTGTATATCCATGTGC